TTGTGTAACCAAACTCCACGTACCATTTGCAACTAAGGCTGCAATTTCTTTAGACATAGCCTCTCGCCAAACAGCATACTTGACCGCCCCTTGAAAGACTTTGGCTCTGGAATAGTATCAACAGCAGCCAAAAACGTATGGTAGGAAGGCGTTAGTCTCCCATACTAGACATGATGCGACAACGGATATCGGACATGTGAGGGAGATTGAAGATCCATCTCGTAGATATCCACAAGGTGCTTAGGGGGACGACGATCCCTATCACTGCGACGCAAAGGGACAGGCACGTCGGCAGGCGGTGACGAAGAGGTAGCGCCTGGACTGTCCGATATGGACTCGAGTGAATGACAAGGACTGGGACTGGGTGACACCCTGTCCACTGGGGAGTTGACATCCACAGCTGGTGTGCGTGGGGAGGTAGTCTCCGCAGTCGGTGATGAGGGACTGGGAGTAGCATGCTCGAGGGGACTAGGCATGGTAGAATCCCCCGAGCTGACGGGAACCTCATCAATGAACGTGTCTGGAGGAACCCAATAGAAATCCCGAGGGTCCTGCGCGTGAAAAGGAAAATAATTCTCATGGAAAATCACGTCACGAGAGATTATTACCTTATGTGCAAGAAGATCATATATATTATAACCCTTCTGTGTAGCCGCATAACCAAGAAAGACTCCAGCTCGCCCTCGATCAGCAAATTTATGGAGATCACCATGGTTATCCTTGGCGTAGACAAGACAGCCAAATACTCGAAGATGGGTATATGAAGCAGGACGACTAAACAACACCTTAAAAGGTGTTTTCCCTGTCGCAGTGCTAGGCAGTCTGTTGATCAAGTACGTGGCAGTGAGAACACATTCGCCCCAAAACCGTAGTGGGAGGCCAGCCTGAAATCATAGTGCTCGCGCCGTCTGCAAGATATGGCGATGCTTTCGTTCAGCAACTCCATTCTGCTGAGGAGTGTCAGTACAACTGGTCTGAAGAACGATGCCAGATTTTTCATAATAGCCGCGCAAGACATTAGTCAAAAATTCAGGACCGTTATCTGCATGTATGCGCCGAACCTGTTTACCAAACTATATTCGCACCATCTCACAGAACAAAACAATATGTCGAGCAACCTCATATTTAAACTTTATTAGATAAACCCAAACACTGCGGACAACAGCAAAACTCTCATCCAATCTCATCAAAAAATCATACAATCGCGAACGTTCCTCCCTTGCTCGAGTTCTTTGCTCCAAGTTACACTTGCATTGCCCACATACACACGCTGTGGAGGAGATAAAGACTGGGCCTCCTCCCATAAGGCCTTGATGCGAGTATAGAACGAGGAAACAGAATGTTTCTCTTGCCAAAGCGCGCTAACAAGACGACGCAGCTCATACCCTCTGGTCATGCTACCTTGGCCAAACCGCTCCTTAAGATCAATCCAAATTTCATGTGTCGTTTTGGCATATCGAACACTGCTTCGTATCTCTTTATCAATCGCCATACGAAGACATCCCTTGACTACATCATCACACCTGTTCCAAGCACGTAATTCCGGATCGTTCTTGGGCTGTGGTATTGTACCATCAACAAACACAAATTTATTTTTCACGATGAGTGTGTCGATCATATCAACCACCCATTCATCGTAATTGGTTGAAGTGAGAACATCACCAACAATGAGTTGTCCTCCGCATTCCTAAGGATGCAAAAAATAAACTGACATTGAATCAATCTGACCTGTAAGTTCGGATTTGACAGTTCCAAACTTCATGTTGTCATTCCCACCAGATCCGTCGCCTTCTAGCCTCTTGGTCTCATCAGTATCACCCATGACAATGACAAATCAAGAAGGACGTAGAAAGCTTATGCAGACCTATGCTCTGATACCATGATAAATCGTAAACGAATCAAGAAGACACACGAGTTTTACGTGGTATCCTCGGTCGATTGAGTGACCGAGACTAATCCACGGAAGAGTTCAGCCTCTCCAACTTTGATCTTATTAACTTGATAATTGTGTTACAGTGGCCGTATGACCTATACAAGGTTTATATAGGCTAGACCTTTCTGTACTTAGGGTTTTACATGTAGAAGAAGGAATACAAAGAAATCTCCCGTAAGTACTCCTTACCATACATGTAAAGGATGCCTCAACTGGACAGGCTGAATTGGATTGGGCCTCGAGCGGTGACCGGGACATGGGCCGCTCGGTGTCTCTGTCCAATAATTCACGCCAAAAAAAGGAGTCGGATCGACTTCCACTAAAAAAAGAGAGAGGTCCAATTCCAACTCCTATCCCCCACTACTAACTGTTTCCATGGCTGCTCCGGCCCATCTCATACTATATTTTCATTTTGCCTTACCCAAGAAAAAGCCCTTTTGCATACGTGGCATCAACAAACTTTGGCCCTCACCAACCACCGCCGTCGGCCGCCGTCAACCCACCCATTTTCAGTTTTTGACTTCTTGAACTGGCTCCATCGCTCCACCACCACCAAACGCCGGCGTCAAATTTGTCCGCTTCGTCCATATGAATTATCGTCACTCCTCCTTCGCTACTCACATAGAACAAAAGCCAGCTGAGCTCCTCCTTAGTTGTTGAAAAAAGCGCCTCTTCGCTCCCTCGACGAGTCCGTCCAAATTGAAATTGGCAACAATTTCGCCAAAGGCCAACACTTCCCCTAATTCCCACCCACCATTTTTCCCCTCTATATACTTCTCCATCTTTCCGTTTCTCTCCTCCTCCCATCTCCTCCGCCGCCCAATTTCCTTTTCCGTCGAGCCCAACAATGGAAGCCTCCACCCTTTCCCGCATCGGGCTCGCCGGCCTAGCCGTGATGGGTCAGAACTTGGCCCTCAACATCGCCGAGAAAGGCTTCCCGATCTCCGTCTACAACCGCACCACTTCCAAAGTCGACGAAACCCTCCAGCGCGCCCAGAGCGAAGGCCCCTTCCCTCTTTCCGGCCACCACACTCCTCGCGATTTTGTCCTCTCCCTGCAGCGACCCAGATCTGTCATCATCCTGGTCAAAGCAGGGTCCCCAGTTGACCAGACCATCGCCGCACTTTCCGAGCACATGGAGTCCGGCGACTGCATCATCGACGGCGGCAACGAGTGGTACGAGAACACCGAGCGCCGAATTCAGGAGGTGAGCAATCGGGGGATCCTTTATCTGGGTATGGGTGTCTCCGGCGGCGAGGAAGGTGCCCGTAACGGCCCTTCCTTGATGCCAGGTGGGTCTTTCCAGGCTTATAACAACATTAAGGATATCCTAGAGAAAGTAGCTGCTCAGGTTGAGGATGGTCCTTGCGTGACTTATATTGGGGAAGGTGGGGCTGGGAATTTTGTGAAGATGGTTCACAATGGGATTGAGTATGGCGATATGCAGCTCATTTCTGAAGCTTACGATGTGTTGAAGAACGTGGGTGGACTGTCGAATGAGGAGCTTGGTGAGATTTTTGGTGAGTGGAACCGAGGGGAGCTCGAGAGTTTTCTGATTGAGATCACTTCCGACATTTTCAAGGTTAAGGATGATCTTGCCGATGGGGGGTTGGTGGATAAGATTCTGGATAAGACGGGGATGAAGGGTACTGGGAAATGGACGGTTCAGCAGGCTGCTGAGCTCTCCGTTGCTGCACCCACCATTGCTGCTTCATTGGATTGCAGGTACTTGAGTGGGTTGAAGGAAGAGAGGGAGAATGCTGCAGAGATTTTGAGGGAGGCTGGATTGAAGGAGGAAGTTGGAGCTGTGAAGAGTGGCATTGATAAGAAGAGGTTGATTGATGATGTGAGGCAGGCGTTGTATGCTTCCAAGATTTGTAGCTATGCACAAGGGATGAATCTGTTGAGGGCCAAGAGTATCGAGAAAGGCTGGAACTTGAATTTGGGAGAGATGGCCAGGATTTGGAAAGGTGGGTGTATTATCAGGGCAGTGTTCTTGGACAGGATCAAGAAGGCCTACCAGAGGAATCCAAACCTGGCTAGCTTGATTGTTGACCCGGACTTCGCCAGGGAGATGGTGCAGAGGCAAGCAGCCTGGAGAAGAGTTGTGGGAACGGCCATCTCAGCGGGGATTAGCACACCTGGAATGTGTGCTTCCCTTGCTTACTTCGACACTTACAGGCGTGCTAGACTGCCAGCCAATCTTGTTCAGGCTCAGAGGGACTTGTTTGGCGCACACACTTATGAGAGGATCGACCGCCCTGGTGCATTCCATACCGAGTGGACAAAACTTGCTCGCAAGAGCAATTCTGCTGGTGTGCTACTTTGAACTAAAGCTTTTATGCAGAAGACTTGTTTGTGTTTGTTTTGCTTGTTTCGGGGTTTCGATTGGGTTGTTTGAGGAATGTTTGTCTATTTGAATTTAGAAGAAAGCGTATGTTCGCATTGAGGAAAACATTGGCTAGGCATATAAATGACCAGTTATTTTTTTTGTACTTTACAGTCGATAAGAAATGCTTGCCTCTTTAGACTTCATTGAGTTTGCAATTTATATGGGAATGGAAATAGTTCCTGTTTCGTTTTGCTTCCCACTTAATCTATTTTCTCAGTAGGAAAAGTAATCGAAAGTGAAGTCCTTCTACTGATACAGAGCAATAAATGGGACTATGTTCGTATACACATATATAACCTGTAAAAGGATTATGGTACAGCGCTCAACGTGGAAGAAGAAGACCGAACAAAAGTTGTGTATGGAAATTTTACAAGTAGTAGTTCTGTTCCTTCCCATATTCATCGTTCGGCATCCCGGTTTTACTTTCCCAGCAGGAGAATGATGGAAAGATGAAATCTTTCTGTTGATACAGAGCACAAAGTGGCAAAAATGGAAGGCGAAAAGTGAGAGAGAGAGAGAGAGAGAGAGAGAGAGAGCTATGGGAAGTGACCAGTTTCAATGGTTTGCTGAGTTCTTGTTACTGCCGCAGATGGCATTTTGCTACGCCTTATCCATACAGTTTAAGAACTAAATCTTCACCAACGTGTCTTTCCATTACCTGAATCTTCTTCGTCTTCAAAAGCTTCTTAGACAACAACAACCCAGATGTGCCACCAGAACCAGTCCTACAATCCCAACCACGATCGCCACCACCATCCATAGATACCAGAGCTTCTTCTCCTTCCTGTGAACCCCTTCTTCTGGAACCACAATAGAGAAATGGCCTTGATCCTCCACATAACAAGCATCCAACTCCCATGTTTCTCTGAGATTGAAGCTCCCATCACTACCGAACACAATGCACTGTGCTCCAGACCTCTTGTTGACTCTTCCTCCTGGGACGTTCACAGCAACATGCTTCTCACTTGTGTCGAGATTTAACGTTTCTGATCATGTTTCATGCACTGATATTCGACACACAAAAAACCTGGAATCCGACTACTGGAAGAAAAGAATAGCCTTGAACATTGTAAAACTCAGCCGACAGATTTCCCGATCGCCAGCCTTTTCACGTGAGGCGTGGTCATGGTTCTTGGAGGGATCCAGAAGTGGCTGAAGTTGGCGCCAAGGTCCAGAGCCTCCTGCTTCTCAACCTTACGAGTGAGACCTGGATACCCGATAAATTGGAAGGAAGCAGAGCTTGGTAGAGAGCACCAGTGTGGCGGAGGTATTGGACAACGGTTTGGAAAGCTTAACCTTCAAGTAAAGCATCCAGAGACTGAGCAGTGAAGCCGTCTAAGCTATCTGCTGATGCTGAAAAATATATAGAGGAATTATCAGTAACCAGATGAGATTCAAAACCATGTTTGAAAGCTTTCTGGGTTCTGTAGAACAACTTTCAGAAATTCAGAAAGACGGAAGCTTTATTGGTGTGGTAGTGTGTATATGAGCTAGCTGAGCATCCGCCCTAATGGATTCCATTGTTTTGCTTTCCTCTTCTGCTATATTTATTCAGCCCCTTAAAAACTATTATGCTCAATAATTCATTCTGTCCCTTTAAAAGCCAACAAGAAGAAGCAGTCATTGCAGTTGACTTGTTAGTCCGTCGAAAGTCCAGTCAGAAGTTGAGGGATAATCTTTATCGTCTTTCTTCCAACGGTTAACTGTTAATCAGAGCCGGTAATTGCTCTGCGGCAGCATTTTCATACACGGCGTGACTGGAAAAGATCCCAATGTTCTTTTCGCCATACGAGTACACCTTCATTAGGTGTCAAATGGATAGAGCGATAAATCAAAGTGTTCAGAAGTTTCAACCAAAAGGAAGTGTCCAGAATTATCTGCAGCTACGAAAACACGCATAGAAAGGGAATGGAGATTTGGCAGAGTAATTATCAATTCTGCTACTGCACTAAGTAGATGCATATGGCCATCATTATACGATTGTTGAAGATGAGAAAAGTTACATTATTGCTCTCTCTTTAGAAAGCATGGTTCTTTTTCAACAAAGTGACAATGATGGAACGACAAAAGTAAACACAGTACACAGGATCCACAACCACGCCGTTGCAGTATAAAAATGAATTGAACAGCAGACGTTGCTTCTTTCTTTAGATGATTGCAGCATTACAGAAAATACAGAGGCTTTAATTCAACGCAGGGAGCTCTTAATTCCATTTCATCATGTTTGGCTACATCTTTGGAGATCAAAAACAGCAAATCGTTGTTAGCCGTCTACCAGAGATTTTCTTACAACAACACAAAGTAAGCCACATAGGCTGGAATAAACAAAGATAGTTAAGACCAGCTGCTCAAATCTACCTAGTTCTTAGCCGAGCACGTAGAAAAACCTGTATGAAGGGAACGGTCAAACCACAAGAGCAATGATCACTTTTCAAAATTCTCACTGCCTTATGGTCAACTCGGCCCTAAGATGCAGAATGCCATTGATGAAGAAAGGGCTGTCGTCAGCCATGAATGCGTTCCACGGAACACCAAAGAGGTTCCTGTACCCAACAGCTTTCCCTCCTGTGAAAGTGTAATTCCCCTTATACTTGCTCACAAACTCATCAGTCGGCTTTGACCTAGCAGCAAACTCATAATCAACAGCAAAGCTCACTGATCCCTTTTCCTGCATCCCTAAAAACAGTCCAAAGCAGTGGAAAGAGCTCTGTTGATCCATATTACAGTGAGCAGACAAGAAAAACCCTTGCCCACCAAGGTGAAAGGCTTGAGAGTAAACCCTGCCAGCTGGAAACAAATGTTTGCACTCGTCACGTTTTAGGTCCAGGTAGACCACACATTGCTGACGCGGAAGATCAAACTCCACCACCTTAACCGGTCGGTACTTGTATGATCTCTCCACAAGCCGGTGATAGGGAGCATTGGCCTCTTCTAAAGCAAGAGCACGCTGCCTATATGGGGTCTCGCCTTTGAAAAAGAGAGCATCAAGAACAACCTTGGACGCTACATCATGATCAAAGTCGTTACAAGACAGGACCTTCCTCAGCTTTCGGCATGTCATGAATGCAAAACGGATTAATCGGACAAGACGGGTTCCCAGGACATCTCGGCGTTCCTCTAATCTGGGATAGTGTATGCGGGCCCACTTAAGTACGAAATCATAAACAGCATCCTCTGAAGCTACTTGGAGATCATCACTAGCTAATACCGCCTCAATACCAGCTAGCGGCAAGTTAAGAACCTCATCTTGGAACCTAAGAAAGAATACAAGTGTTAAAACATTTTTCTACCATTCCATGGTCAAGAATTGCCGGTTCAACCGATTGAAAAACTCCATGTGAAGAAGCATATATTGAGTAGCACAACCATATTCCATGGTCCTGGTTTAAAGAGAGTCGGACTTAGACTTACTTAGATATGTCCTTGTAACGTCCAGCAAGAAATTGCTTTGCAGCATCAGTAAGTGGCTGAACTGCTTCAGCCATTAGCACAGTAGACGGAAGGTCCAAGTAGAGCAACGCGGACTCACTAGTCATAGGCAAGTTTCTAAGTAACCTACTGCAGTATCTCATACACGACACAACTTCAAACTTGTCGGCAGCCATCAACACATCCAACAAAGCAGTAGGGGTTGTTGTAGATAATGTATTGCTATACATAAAATTGAGGAGTTCCATTAGGGCTGCTTCTTCTGCTCAAAGGGGGGCAAATCAACAAACAGAAACATAATGAAAACCATAACCCTTTCCCTTCAAATGCGACAAAAGTAGCTAGCACCCAGAATCACAAGCAAAGAGAAGTTAAATTTACCAGATTCATGTATTCGAAGGGTTACATGCCGTTGATCTGACTCTCTCATCCCATTCGAAAACAACTGCAGGAAAGGACTAAAGGAATTATAGCAGGCAATAATAGCAATTTAAGCACAGACCAGGAATATGGCCCAGTAAATCACCTTGTAGAAGAATGGACTCTTAGCCGCTAATATAGGTGAACTAATGTGTATAGTATTAACTCTAAGAACAGTTGAACAGTCCATGCTCCAGCCAGATTCACTGCCACTAGGGGCATCATCACCTGATAATACAAACGTTCCATCAAATAAGAAGCCCAGGCAACCCCACCTTGCAATATCCTAGGACTTAATAATTGTAAGAACAGAATTCAGGGACAAAAGAAGCACCTTGTTCATTCAAATTCAATCCGCCGTCTGCAGCTGATTCCTCAATCATTGCCACAACTTCTTCATCTTGGTTATCATAAGCCAAAGTTTCCTCTGCATCTGGAACATTCAAGTTAAGTACTTGATCTGCGCTTTGCCCAATAACTTCAGCCACTGAAGGAAGGAAACCAAACACGTCTGAATCAGAAACAGCACTTGAGGGATAAAGCTAGATTGGAAAAGAAAAATTTCCCCACAGAAAGCTCCCCAGCAAAAGGACCCTTCCAACAAACACCTTCTCACATCAGTTTCACACCTTAGAACTATGGTATTTAGCATCCACAAGATAAATGAACATGCCAAGTTCGAAACTTTCACCAACAAACAATCTCTGATTCATAGTTTATTAAATCCAGCAGGTTCAACCATCTAAACCGAATCAGTTCCATCATTCGAATTCCAGAAACCACAATCCAGAAATAAGGAAATAAACTGAACACAGAAACAGAACAAAAGACCAAAAACTTTTCCAAAATCCAGAAACAAGGAACCTTCATTTCAACGGGGAAGAAACGCAGAGGGGTTTATCACAGGAAACTAACCGTTTTCCTTCTTAATCTCCTCCCTTCGACGCTTCCGGTTACGCGCCCACTCGGCTAGGGTGATGCAACCATCACCGTCTGATTTGGTGTCAGGCAAATCGGGAATTATCTCAATCTTAAGGATCCTATCGGAGAAATTCCGATCGTTGAAAGCAAATCCAAAGTCGGAATCGGTGGCAGAGCCACTGTTCCTCGCCGGAGAGAAATCGGAGTCCATCAGCGTCCGGGGTTCGAAGAGGTCGGCACCCAACTCTCTCATCGCAACCCTACCACCACCCCCACGACGAACACCCAATCGCCCCAAACTTTCAGTCCTTCTGCCAAATTTTACAGTTTATATGCTTTATGTTGTTATATATTTGTGGCCTGATTCGAAAACCTAGATAGCAAGGAAGAAAGGACAGAGCGAGATAGATACACAGGTCAGACAGGGGAAGATAGAAAGAAAGATTCATTCAGACAGAGTATTTCAATTTTGTTGTCTGTTTACAGTTTTTTTAATTATTATTTGTTGCGTGTTTGTTTCCCGAGAAATTTAAGGGGAAAATGCTCTACTGTTTGTTGGTAGGCGGTCCGGCGGTTTAAGTTTGGGCTCAACCACAGTACGTGAACTGTTGAATTGGGCCCAAAGTCCAATTTCGGGATGGGCTTTGTCAACGGCCGGTCAAACGACTATGAACGCCGCTGGGCACAAGGCCTACCGACGTCTCTTCTTCTCGCCTTCCGGACACTACACCGTCGGCGCAAAACTCGTCGTTCTTCCTTGTACGAAGTGAGTGAAGTTCAGGCAACCAATGTAGTCAAAACTCGAGCTACAAAGTCAATTCCGAACTGAGGTTCGAGCAACAGTGAGAGGTCGTTTAGATGGATGAATATTCGATTATGGAAACTCGAGCAACAAAAGCTATACAAACAGAACACACATCCATCGCTTCAGCTCATCTCTAGGGATAAAAAAAAAAATGCCTCCATTATAGAATCCTTAATCCAACTAGGTTACATGCATTGAATCAAATCAGTAAGTTCCAGTTAACTGCAGCTAACAAGTTCACTTGCAATACGTAAACTTATGAACATGTAAGAACCAATCTGGAAGGTAAGTTTAGTCGACAGGTAAGTACTGAAAATACTCATTGCTTGAGGGTCAGTTCTGCTCTGAGATGCAGAATGTCATTGATGAAGAAAGGGCTGTCATCAGCCATGAACGTTTTCCACGGTACTCCAAACAAGTTCCGGTACCCCACAGCCTTCCCTCCGGTGAAAGTATAGTTCCCTTTATACTTGCTGACGAACTCATCGGTTGGCTTAGACCTAGCAGCAAACTCATAGTCAACAGCAAAGCTCACTGATCCTTTCTCTTGCATCCCCAGAAACAGTCCGAAGCAGTGAAAAGAGCTATGTTGGTCCATATTGCAGTGGCCAGACAAGAAAAACCCCTGACCTCCAAGGTGAAATGCTTGTGAATACACCCGGCCAGCAGGAAATAGTTGCTCACATTCCTCGCGTTTGAAATCCAGGTACACTACACACTGTGGCCTAGGAAGATCAAAATCCACCACCTTGATAGGTCGATACTTGTAAGCTCGC